GGCGCGCCCCCCCCCCCCCCGCATCCCCCTCTCTGAGCGTCCCAGGAGCCCCTCCTGACGCTGCTCCCTGAATTAAGACACTCGGGGCTTCCGGGGGCTCTGCGGTGAAATTGCCCGTGAAAGTAGCGGAGAAAACCTTGCTCGGGGGGAAGGGGATCCTCTGATCTATCTTGTTTAAAACCCATATCAGTTGTTAACAGACCATAAAAATACAGCTCCATTAATCTGGGCTGTCTGTCACGGGCTCTCGGAACAGCTGTGCCGTTTAACGGTTTTCCTCCTGCCCGAGCTCTCGACACTTGGGCAACTACATCTCAATTTATTTGGATAAGGACAACGGAAATGTTGCTCTCTCCTTTTTTCTCCTTTTTCTGCCACACCTACCCTCCTACCTCAAGCCGCTGGGAGATCTTAGAGAACTCACAGCGGGTGTGTTTTCAAATTCTTTCCCATCCCGGGATACAAGTTTGCGTTCGGTGTTGAACCCTCCCTCGTGTACTCTATTTTGCCCACGTGTCCTCTGTGGTCCCTCTGCCCTGTCCCCTCCCCGCCTCCCCGGCTCTCTGTCCACCCCTCACCCCCTCTGCTCCAACCACACAGGGTCCTCTCTGCTCCTGCACCGTGCTGGGCTCTGTGCTGCCGCAGGGCCTTTGCACAGCCATGCCCTCTGCTTTTGCCTCCAGTTGCAGCCCCCAGCTCTAGCGCGGTCACCTCCTTAGATGGACTGTCCCCGCCACTCAGGGCTACCAAAGCATCCCCAGTGCTTCCCATGGGACATTGTGTCCTCCCATCCAGGTCTTGTACCATGCTTTGCAACTAGTCCATTGACCTATTGCTTTTCTTTTCTTTTCTTTCTGGTTTTGTGAGACAGGGTCTCACCATGTAGCTCAGGCTGGCCTCGAACTCATGTGATCCTCCTGTGTCAGCCTCCTGAGTGCCGGGGTTATTAGGCATGTGCCACTCCACCCGGCTGACTCATCGCTAATTTATCGCCTGTCTCTCACACTGGACTGAGCCCCCTGAGGTCAGGATGATGATGATGATGATGATAATTTGGTCGATTTTGTTCACGGCTATCTTTCCAAAGCCTACACCAGTGCCTAGTACACAGTAGGTGCTCAATATGTGCTTGAGGAGGAAATGAGTCAACGACAGAGTGAGCTGGGTGTGGTGGTGCACACGTGTGATTCTGGCTCTTGGAGGCTGAGGCAGGAGGATCTCTGTGAGTTCCAGGCCAACCTGAACTACATGGTGAGACTCTGTCTCAGAAAACCAAACAAGTCAAAGAGAGCAGGGTGGGCCCTGAGAGAGTGGTGGAAGGCAAGGGTTTGGGGTGGGAGCTTTTGGGCCCCACCTCTGCCGTCGCCCTCTCTAGGGGCTTCAGGTCCGATGCTCACGCGCGGTGACAGCTGACCCAGGCACAGCCGCGGTGCCCACACTTGATCCGCTGGCCCAGCCCCCGAGGCTCTGAGTCTCTGGCGTCCCCGAGGCTGCGGCCTCAGCCGATCCGGCCCGATGGCGGGGGAGCTGGCACAGATGTCCCCAGAACGGAACATCTGGGCTGCGTGTCGCCGGCAGCTGGTGGAGCTGGAAATCCGCAAAGAGGGTGACTTCTCTGGGAGCCGGGGCGGCCCTGGAGCCCACTCTGGTCCCACGGCCGCCTGCAGCTTGGCACCCCGTGACCTCTCCTGGCTCGGCGCGTCCTAATTCCTGGTGCCCCTCCTTCCTTCTGCCCAGCGTCCAGGCTGGGGCTGCAACAGCGCAGGATCCAGGCGGCGTCACTGTCGCTGC